AAAAATATTACGAAAAAAATACACTCTATACATAAATTCTAAACGGATTCAGGAAAAAGGAACCCAAGATAGATTGATATTGAATGACACATATTTGTTTAAAAATCAAATTATCTGTTCAATATGCTAATTCTTTTGTAATGTAACAAGTTGGTGACGGAAGGATACTGCCACGGCCGTTTGCAATCATGACTCGAAGAAATTGAAATTAAATTAGATTTGTTTCCAATAAGATTAGATGAGAGAATTAACGAGACAATGAAGAGGACAAAATTTTGTCTTATAACGCAGCGAGACGTAAATAAACTAAAACGATTATTTTGAACGTAACAAGCCAACAATAATTTTCCAATTGATCATCATTGTTCATTATTTTGAGGGCGCTCAAAAATTTCATTACATTATAGGTACGACATCTATCACGAAAATTTTTTTCTCGCAGTCCAAAATCGCTTTGCTGTTTGAAAGACAAAGTATAAAACTATTCACAAAGCTGTTATTTCATTGAACTAAACATGTTTTATTGCACATGTAACAGACTCCTTCATGTTTGTAATGTCTGGAAACTATTTTGAAAATAAATGACATTTCAAACTGTTGCCGATTTTCCTGAAACCAGTAATAAAGTCTGTTTTGGAACTCTTCTCTAATATTTCGCAAAACGTCACCGGGAATTGACCGGCATCCTGCTGTAATTCGCCTTTTAAGATCATCAATATCAGCAGGTAGTGTTTTATAGACAATGGATTTCAGGTATACCCAAAGAAAAAGTCTAACGGAGTTAAATCCGGTGATCTTGGGAGGCCACTCATTTGGCCGTCTACTGCCAATCCATCTATCCGGGAAACTCTCGCGTTCAGCCACTGTCGGACAAGATGGAAGTAATGAGGTGGAGCACCGTCCTGTTGGAGTTACAACAGGTTCTCTTGTAAAACAGAATTACCTTCTGCATCAATTCGCGTTTCTAGCTCATAAGTTATAAGCGGACCGATAGCCTCTTCAAGCATTTTGAGGTACAAATTGCCGGTCAAGGTATACCAAATACCACAGATAATCATAATTTTTATTAATAGCATAACTAAAAAATGTAAAAACTCAAAACGAATTACCAACGTTTACATATTTTTCCTCTAACTCACGCCAACAGGTTATCCAAGTCATTATCCAAATCCGGCACGCGACCGTGACTTTGTACCGAGTCCCATTCTATTGTGTCTACTCTCGTGATTACTTTTAAAAAAATATATCTATTTAAAAATCAATCGACGGTATGGCTGTTACTACGTCATTGAAGTCACGCCCGGATTTTGGGAAATTACGTTTTCGCATTAGACAGGACAGGAAGTATTTTTTTTTCTACATGTACGATTTTTTTAATTCGTCTGAAAATAATATTGGTAATGGCTATATAACAAGAAATAACTACAAGAGGTAAATGCAAATTTTCTATGGTAAATTGATTACGTGAACAAGTGAACACTTTTTTTTTCTCAAAAATCCTTCAATGAAATTCGCCTATTTTGCCCTCTGCAGTGGAATATTTTGATGTAAGAGTTTCTTTGTGATAAACTGTAAAGTTTAAATACAAATTTTCAGATAACTTTATGTGAACACTCCAGTACAATTAAAAAAAATCCTTAAAACAAAAACCAATACGTAAAACCAACTAATGTCCCCTTCGGGTGGTCATTCTGCAAAAAAATAAACCTGTCCACTTCGCCATGCAAATATCGCGTTTTATGTGTACAGTATACTCGGCCATTAAAACTCCTTTTTAAACAGTACCTATCTTATTTTAAATCATAAAAATACATAAATCTGCGTCAATATAGCCCACAAAGAACGAATATACCATGTGTTACTTATATGGGCTTTCTGGTTTGAGGCAGCAGGTTTATTTAAATAAAAATCTGAAGTACCTACGTATTTAGACTGAAAGTAGGTACAATTAGTAAAGGTAGGTATGTAAAAGGCATGAGAAATTAGAAAATTGGAAACGTGTTCATACTTCCTCCCTTAGTTCCAATTTTGAAATTGCGGATGAAACTGCTTATTTGGCTACTGTATTGTTTACATTAATTCACGTTAATTTTCATTTTGAATAAAACACACAAGTCTAAAGAACTTAATCAGGGATGCTGCATACCAACACTTTTTGAAAAATACTTCAAACAAGCGCTTAAGGGATGGAAGAAGAAATGCAGACACAAGCTCAAAAAATAATCCAAGTATTAATTACACAGAATTATGATGAATAAAACGGATTAGCAAAGTAGCAAAGTAGCAAATAAACCTCGAAAATGAGAGAACCAGACTAATAAGAAAAAAAAAACTTCCAAAACATGGAAACACCCAAAGGAAATAAGTCATTTTCAAAAGCGTATCGAAAACAAAGCAACAATTGAAATTATGATTGAACATTTTGATCACAGTCAAAACAAATACGCCGAAAGTATTAGGTTCCGGCAAGTCACCCAGCAGGAAAACGGAACTGTCGCACAATTTACTCTACGTTAAATACAAGGTGCAGCTCATTGCGAATATGGCGGATTTTTAGATAGAATGCTTGTTACATGGATTTCGATCTCGAGAAATGTGTGATGACGTAATTGCTAAAAATCCTTCAAGCATTACAGACGCTCACAGAATTGTACACGGACTGGAAGCGACACATCACATAACAAATGAAGTGAAACTTACTGCAGTGGGGCCCGCTCCATCTTCGGTAAAGTCCATGAACAAGTTAGGATACACAGCACTTCAGACCAGGCGCGACCATTAGCCATCCATTTACAAATCAATGTTGGGTGACCAAGCTCCACAATGAAGCACACAAGGAGCGATTGGAAACGGAAAACCCCATTTTAATAACTGTGGAGGTTCCCATGTACCCAGTCAATGATTTTTTCTGGGACAAAATTTGTAAAAAAAAAGGTCACATAAATCAAGACTGACACAAGCTATCTCTCAAATTCCTAACTCGGAGCAATCTGTCGAAGGTATTAATTCCGAAAATATAGATTTTATTGATTATTTCCAAAAAATCAATGTAATTTGCGGTACCGATTCATCTGCACCCCGTCGTATGATTGAAGTCCAAATCGATGGACACAGCATAGAAATGGAGCTCGATACTGGTGCACCATGTGCCATAATTAGCGAGAAAACTCTGCGATCCATAAAACCAAAATTCTCATTGCTGAAATCCGATAGACAATTTGCCAGTTACACTCGTCATAAAATCATCTGTCTCGGACGACTTCCTGTACATGCGAAAATGGGTAAAAAGACGACAAAACTTAATGTCTACGTAGTCAAAGCAGACTTTGATGCTCTGCTGGGTCGGACATGGATCGCACATTTCATTCACGAAATTAACTTTGCCAAACCGAGAACAAGTGCACATGATATCTACTGGGACACCATGTCTAAACCAAGATCAAAAAAATCGTTTGGATCTTCTACTAGCGAAATATGAAAATGTCTTTAACCAGGCAGCTGGTAAACTCAAAGGGCCACCTTGTTCTTACCAGTTTTTGTCATATAATTTGTATTTTATTGAAAAATATAGAGACATAAAACAAAAGTTCGGTGTTTAAGAGTTTGGGTGCTGGCGGAAGTATCAGTTTCCCCTTCTCGTGAATAGGAGCGAGTTCTCAAATTTACGACTTTGTTTGTAAGATTTTCATTGTTTAGGCGAACATTGAGGCTGTCCAGAACCATGTTTTACAGAAGAGGTCATAGCACGCTTTCCTGCGGGCAGCCTTTCGTGGCCCTTCCTTACCTACACTTACCTGTAAGATTTTTTTGGAAAGCATATTGAATATCCATCCGGTAACAGTTTCCGGAGTATTTTTTTCTGTTAGCGAGTGGCTAATTTTTTGAAAGTTGGTTTTGTTAAAGGCCTCTTCAATGTCAATGAAAACCCTGCGGGTGGACTCTCTATTGTCCAACGATTTTTCCACTCGCCCAGCAGCCAAGTGGAGGGCTGTGTCCGTTGATCTCCCAGGGTATATGCATGTTGATTAGGGTGAAGTGGATTGGTTGACAACACTTCATCGCTTATGTACCCTTCGCATAGCCTCTCCATTGTTTTTAGAGAAAAAGATGAGAGGCTTATGGGGCGATATGCTTTGGGGCTGGTGTAGTCCATCCTCCCTGGTTTGGGTAGGAACACCACTCTGACTTCTCTTCAAGCCTTGGGTATGCATGTCAGTGCCAAAGATGCCCTAAACATCCCTACCAGGTTCGGCTAGAGTAGCTCCAGACCGCACTGAAGTGGGGCTGGGTAGATGCCGTCGGGTCCTGGTGCCTTGAAGGCGGAGAAGACCAATCTATTTTTTTCTCGTATATTATCTGATTTACTAGTTGCCAATCAGCCCCGTATGTATATTACTTGCGCCTGGTCCTCCACAATTCTGATTGTGGAGTCATGGAAGTGGGTTGCCAGTAGTAACTCTGTGCTACTGGCACAAGGGGACATCAAATGTGAACCAACAAAAAAATTCAAAGAACTTAACAAAGAAATATCCAAGGCCCTCAGGAAAGACATATCAGGAAATACAGGTACGATAAAAGGTCTGTTTCTGCCATCGGTTTCTGCAGGAATCACAAACCAGTCAGAGCGAATTTCATTGGTTGGAAACAGTCAGAAACAGTCAGAAAACTAGTTTCAACCAATGTAATTCACTCTGACTGGTTTGTGATTTCTACAGAAACAGACCTATAGTAGTACGCAAACAATATAAAATCGAACAAAAGCTTGAAAGTATTGAGAGAACATCCAACAAACGGTGAAAAAATAGATTTCGTTTATTGTTTGTGCTGGCTCTACTCTATCATTTCTCTGGACCGAAGTTGCTTTATCATTTTTTGTTTGCTTTTGTCAGTTAAAAGGGAACTTATTTATTTATTTATCGCGAAAATGCTTGAAATAAAACAAAGGAACATTATGCAACATGTATTTATTATTATTATAACACAATATGTATTTAACTGAATTAATATCAATAGGAAGTAAACAATAAACAAGCATGAGGAATCAATAATAATTTTACATCTTACAAGTCTAGTGGTAAGAAGTTAAATAATCAAACAATCCTAAATTAAAAAATCTTTTAAAGCATTACATGATTACTTATCCATTTATTGAGTAGGTACTTACTATTATGAATAATTAATTTTATTTGGGTCTCGTCTCGAATGGTTCTTGCCAGAGGCAATACATACATGAAAAACATTTAAGAGATTAAAGACGACTTCCTAGAGGAGACTGGAGATCTTTTTGGAGACCTGCTGTTCTCTCCATCCGGCGATGGTGATTGTCTTGGCGATCCTGTTCCAGATTTACCCGACGCTTTTAGTCGGACTTTGGTATCCAAATGACGAAACCTGAAACCAATTCCAATAACCCTATTCAAACACCCTGTACAAATTAAGAGGACATGACATCTTCAAATACGGAACTAATACATCATTTAGCAAGTTGTTTATTAAAATTTTCCTCTACAATGTAATATTCTCCGTAAATTCGATTCGATAATTTAGCATTGCTCATATTGTGTGTTTTTTTAAGTACTTATTTCTTCGAAACTTGAGATCAAGAGGCAATGCTTGAAATATTAAATAATTGACAGCTCATCGTATCGCTTGGACTTTCGTAACACTGAGACGAATACATTATTACTCCTGCTAATGTCGCTATTATAAAAGATTCGCTAAAACAAAAAGCAATTCATTGTTTCAATATTGTTTATATTAATTTTTAACACGTTGATAATGTATTATGTATTTGTCAACAGTTTAACCCGTGGATAATTTAATGGATATAAATTGCCAATCTGTTATTTGATTTTCCTCTTTAGATTTAGGTATTAATAAACATGTATTCTTAGAGATAATTTTTCCATTGGCAAGATTCAATATACGATAAAATGCTAGTAGAATGGTCTTATTTGAGAATATTATTAATCAACCGTCATTAGGAGCAAAGCAATTAAGAATTTTACAATCATAAATAAATCAACTCAAAGCGTCAAGTTCAAAATTGGTTTTTAATTGGTTGAGTAATTAAAATCTTACCGGATCGGTACATTGCTGGCAGACCCTTCTTCGGTAATACCCTGGAATAGGAAAGCCAGCGGCCAACTTATCCAGGATGCGCTCCTGCAAATAAAAGTCCATTAAAATGGGTTATTAAATTTTATTATGATGAGGGTATTTGCGTGTTATACTCCAGATTTTATCGTTTTATCGTTAAACTGGACAATGAGATATTCATCCAAATAATCAGCTCGCCTAAAGAAATAAAAGAAAATTGGTAGCTCGAATAGAAAATTGGTTATTAAGAAAGTTCGTTTTCTGAAAAAATCTAAATATTTTGCTCATCCTAAGTTTTACAATAATGATAATAGTCTAGGAAAATAGTCGAAAAATACATGCATTGCAAAAAAAAAATTCCTACCCAAATGAACTTTTCAGGTATGATAGGGGGCGGGTGGGTGATCATGAAACCGAAAATATCAAACATTCACCCCTCTGGCGTTTTGCGCTATAGGGGTTGAAAGTGCGCCATTGGCAATTACTTGGTACCTATTGATTTTACAAAAAAATGTTTCAAATAAAAGATGTGCAACATTATTTGATCTACAATGTTTATCTAAAGACTTTTTTGATTAAGGGCCGTCTGTGGTCATAAGGGCCGTTTGAAATTTTATAATGAAAATGAAAAATTTTAACCAACGTGAAAAAATTTTCTACAACACATACAACATTTTTGCTTTATGAAGTTTTTACTCACCCCCTGCCGTTTTTCAATAGGGGTAGTTTAAATTTTTTTTATTTTTTTACAAAAAAATTTTCTTAATAAAAGTTTTATAAGATTACATTTCCTACAATTTTTCCCAATCAACTTTTTTTGTAACTCCCCCCATTCAGCGGGAGGACACTTCCCTTAGGGAAGTTTTAGTTTTTAGGGGTATATATAATTTTTTTTTCTTTTCTCGCCTTTAGTGCATATAAAAAGGTGCAATTAACATTGTATTAAAAGGATTTTTTTTCCACCACCTTTTTGTTTTTAGGGGTAGTTCACCTATTTTCAACTTTACAAAAAAAAGTTATAGAGAAAAGTTGTTCAAAATAATAAAATGAACAAGTTTTCTTAATAAATTTTTTTTGTAAAGTTGAAAATAGGCGAACTACCCCTAGAAACAAAAAGGTGGTGGAAAAAAAATCCTTTTAATACAATGTTAATTGCAACTGTTTATATGCACTAAAGGCGAGAAAAGAAAAAAAAATTAATATACCTATACCAACCCCTAAAAACTAAAATTTCCCCGAGGGAAGTGTCCTTCCGCTGAATGGGGGTGAGTTACAAAAAAAGTTGATTAGGAAAAATTGTAGGAAATGTCATTTTATAAAACTTTTATTAAGAAATTTTTTTTGTAAAAAAATAAAAAAACTTTAAACTACCCCTATTGAAAAACGGCAGGGGGTGAGTAAAAACTTCATAAAGCAAAAATGTTGCCCCTATAGCGCAAAACGCCAGAGGGGTGAATGTTTGATATTTTCGGTTTTATGATCACCCACCCTCCCCCTATCATCCCTGAAAAGTTCTTTTGGGTAGGATTTTTTTTTTGAAAATCGACAATTTTCCTAGACTATAAGTTAATTTCAACAATCTCTTTACATTAACAAGTGCTACGTAAATATTGGAAGCAATAAAAAATCTCAATTGGATTCACTTTGTTTGGTTATTTATGCAATCGGATATTTTTGATGTTTGATGAAAAGTAATTTATCACTAGCATAAAATACGCTACCTACAACAAGCATAAATTTTATTACCTTTTGAATGAATGCACTCGATGCCTAAAAAATTTAAAATAGAAAATTTTATTGCTTCATAACTGAATGTTCGTGTGAAAAATTACTACAGCATATTATTATTTCGGGGTTCTCCCCCAAGGTAGTTATGTGGATCTATATACACTCATCATCAGGCCTATGTTTACCTATACTTATAGCCGAAAACCAGACCACGTTCAAAGAATGAAATGCCTCAACATAACTGTTGCAATTAAAACCACACCAACTAGGGCTTTGGAAGTAGTTCTATGTTTGACGCCCCTGGACATTTATGTCAAGGAGGCAGAGCTGTCACAAGTACATTACTAAAGTAGGTACTTGGACTACAAGAACAAATTACTCAAGGTTTTGTAGAAGTAATTGAAGTAGGTACATACTTTTCTAAAATCTACACGGTGTTTTTTTTTATATATTGACACCCACCCACAGCTTGTACCTTTATAGGTAGAAGAAAGGTGTAAATACAAAAGTTTTTAGAATCCATGGTCAGCAACAAATATTGAATGTCAGAGATTTTCAATTGGGATGCCTTATATTTGGTTCTATATTCTTGAAGAGCACAATGTCCCGATTCCAAAAATATATATTTTTGAAATTGGGAAATTGTGCTCTTCAAGAATATAGAATCAAATATAGGACATTCTATTTGAAAAAAGCTGAGAGCATGCAACATTTCACTTTTCTGACATTCAATTTTTGTTTCTGACCATGGTTTCTAAAAATTTTGCCAAAAATTTACAACTTTTGTATTTACACCTTTCTTCTACCTGTAAAGGTGAAGGCTGTAGGTGAGGTGTGAATATATGAAAAAACACCCTGTAGGTACTCCAATTACCAAGTACTTACTTGATAAAAGTACTGAAATTTTTTAGAGTTCTTAGCTTGGAGTACAATTAAAGTATTTCAAGTACTTGTACTTCAAATACATTATAATGGGTACTCGTCACAAATATGAAACATGACAATTTTTTCATTTATTATTTTTCTTGGAACCTTTGTCAAAAATTAACCAACAACCCAACAAGCAGCCTCTAATGTCTGTGTTATTTTAAATATTTAAAAATATAAAGTACCTACTTCAAGTCGATCTTCAAGTACACTTTTGAAGTAGGTACCGGGTGATTGTCTATATTTTGTACCCACACCTATCTCACCTGTTTGAAGAGACACCCAGAAATGTCAAATGTGAAAGTCGTAGGTAATATCAGAAACTTTGCAATGAAGTGAGTTACAAGTATACAGGGTGTGTCTCAAAAGTATGGCGAAGCAAAATTATACTTTTTGAATGGATCACCTCGTATATTATTGACCCATTGAATTAGACTCTCAAACCAGGGGCAGTGCCGGTTTAAGGTAGTTTGCCACCCGGTGCTACAAAAACGCAGCGCCCCCCGCCCGTTCGGAAAAAACCAAAACAATTTTTTTGGATCATTTATTTCAAAAAATGTATGCAATTCTTTTATACAGGGTGTCCCAGGGAAAACAGTCCATCTCGATTTATTGGATTTGGAATGAGAATCTGGAAAAATGCTCGGACACGTCGATTTTTGATTCGAGGGGGAACTATTTTTCAGTTTTTTTAATTCCCGTAGCTTAAACCCCCTAGCTGGAGGGGGGGGGGAAACAACCCCCCAAATTTGAATAGGGGATAGGGGTCGTGTCCTACCTCTTTTTAAAGGTCTCATCGAGTTCTTTTTGGCCCTAGATTTTCGTCTTATTATTTTCATCCGTAACGAAATGACAGATTGTTAAATATCTTGGAAATAAACTATTGTTTTAGAGGGAGTAAAAGCGATACTTACCTCCCTTATAGACCCTGAGATAGGGCCTGTTTAGTGGAGTCATTTTTTTTTGTCTGGCATTTTGAGGGATGAATGTGGCTAGTTAGCTGATGAGAATATAGGTGGTTTTAATGCCTGCCACCTGTTCGAAATGTCCACAGAATGTTTCGCCGGAAAACTCGACTTCGAACTGGGATTACCGTCTGGCGATTTTTCAGCGATATTTTCACAACAAAACCTTCCATTCTCTCGATTACCAGACAAAAAGTAAACGCGGAAGGTTCTTTTCTTTTCTCTTGGAAGTTGATACTCATCCCCACTTTTTCAGCTATTGGAAAGCATCTGGTATTTTTTATGGGTGAATTATTCATCAATGTCAATCTTTTATTTAGAAGCCAAAAAATTTGACATCATTAAAAAAAAATTCCTCATGTAAATTAATTTTTTTCTTCTGCAAATTTTCGAACGGGAGGCAGGCATTAAAATCACCCATATTCTCATCAGCTCAGTAGCCACATTCAGCCCTCAAAATGCCAGACAAAAAAAAATGACTCCACTAAACAGCCCCTATCTCACAGTCTATTAAGAAAAACACTTGAAATTGAAGTTTTTTATTATTATTATTAATCAGGTGAACACGTGAATTGTAAATTGTAAGTATGTTTATTAAGGGAGGCAAATAACCACTTTTACTCCTACAACAATTAGTCTATTTCCAAGATTTTGACAAGCTGTCATTTCGTTACGGATGAAAATAATAAGACGAAATTCTAGGGCCATAAAGAACTCGATGAGACCTTTGAAAAGAGGTGTGACACGACCCCTATCCCCTATTCAAATTTGGGGCTTGTTCTCCCCCTAGCTAAGGGGTTGAAGCTACGGGGATGAAAAAAACTGAAAAATATTTCCCTCTCAAATCAAAAATCGGCGGGTCCGTGCATTTCTCCCGATTTTCATTTCAAATCGAAAAAATCTGGGTGGATTGTTTTCCCTGAGACACCCTGTATATATTTATTCTGCAACGACGCCACCGCCAAACAATATTATTATTATCTTGAAAAGAATAATTGAAGTGAGATGCGAGCTGACTGTTGTCTGTTATCGCTGTCAGCTATCGCACGAGTATATACGGTTCCAGGAGTTTAAGTAGAGCTGGGCATGGCTATAGAGACGGGCGTAATTGTACTTATTATTTTTTCTATACGTATGGGTAGTAATCCCTAAACTAACTTGTAGCTTTTTGCTTTGCTTTTTCGTATTATGGTTCAAGAAATAAAAAAGTAATAATAAAGAGGATACATTGAAACTTTAAGGGTCGTTACGCGCTTCGCGCGCCGCCCCTAAGATTTTGCCGCCCGGTGTTACTCCACCCAAAAGAACCATTCGAGTACATTTCGTACACGAAATTTGACTGACAGCAATGTAAATTAAATGGAGAGCATTCGAAATCGTATGAAATTTCGTATACGAAAACATTCGAAAATACGACCCCAGAGCTGGGATCACGACAAGTAGAATTCTACTAGAATTCTACTTTCGTGTCGTCAAGTTGCCTAGCAACCGGCATCCATCGCCTGTACTGTACGCGATAAATAGGTTGTGGATGACGTCATGAAAGTAGAATTCTACTTGTCGTGATCCCAGCCCTAATTCCAAATATACTAGGTTTTGTAGGCTTATTCCTAATAGTTCAGGAGAAAATGGGAAAAAAAGGGGTGGAATAATTGCATTTTTATTGCGAAAGGTGAAGTATATAGAGACCACCAGCAAAATATAAAGGTAATTATTCAAGTAAAAAAATTCATATTATTTCTTCAAAATGGGAAATTCAGAGGCTGGACCTTGAGGAATAAACCTGAAAAACTTAGTATACCTATTTGAAATCAGGTTTGAAAGGTTAATCCAATACCTCGATAATATACGCAGTGTTCTATTTAAAAAAGTATTACTTTGCTTCGCCACACTTTTGTGACACATTCTGTATACTTGTAACTAACTTCATTGCAAAGTTTCTGATATTACCCATACAATTTTCACATTCGACATTTCTGAGTGTCTCTTCGTCTTCAAACAGGTGTGGGTGCAAAATATAGACAATCACCCGGTACTTGCAATACTTTCATTATGCTTGAAGTACTTCTATAGTACCTGGAGTACTTCTTATGAACTGCAAGTATTTTTATGTGGACTTTGTAATGTACTTCAATTCTTTTTACTTGATGAATTAAAGTGCAATGCAAAGTATATTGTTAAAAATAGTTCAAGTACCAAGAATAAGTACACTTTATCCACTGTACTTCAAGTACCTACTTGGAGTAAAATTTCAAGTATTTTTCTTAAAGTACCTGACAACTCTGCAAGGAGGCATCGAACTTGCTTCCACTGTTGACTGCAACGCCATATTTCGTTTTCAAAAAGTACTACGAAATCAACACGAAAAGCATTGGTAGCAACACAGTGGCAGAGGTAAGTACCATCTACACTGACAGATCTACAACTGAAACAGATTTGGGATGCGGAGTGTACTCCAAAGCCCTCCAACTGAACCTAACTGAAGCCCTCGGCTCCACGCCAAATGTCTTCCAAACGGAAATATATAGATAAATAGATATCTTGAATCTTGAATTGTGTTCACTAAAAAAATGGGGTGGATAAAAATTTAATGTTAGTAGAAACACATTCAAATTTGCTGTTATTTGTTGCTTGTGTTCTTGGTGCTAGTATTTTTACGAAAGTCTGGAAAGTAAAGATTATTGTGACAGCTGTGATATCAAGTAATATGGAGTATGGACACCTATAAAAATTTGGTTCCAGGACACGATTTCAAAAAAATGAAACGCTGGATTTCAAATTTAATTGTGTATTTTTGTGAAGATAAATTTTCTCCATCTCTCTGAACAACCTTATACTTATTTATTTTGATTTATCAAATATAAAAATAAACTAAGAAAATTGGTACCTAACACAGAAACAATGAATTCCGTAAAACCTACGACTGTCTAACTAACGCTCGGAAGATTCAAATTAGACCAAAGTAACGCCCTGCGTGAAACAAAAATAACTGAAATTTATGTGGCAATAAACACATGCATTGACATAAAGCTTATGCAAATCGGAGTCGATATTCCGCATTTTCAGAGCAACATTTGCAACAAAAGACCAGCGACTGACTAAAGATTCATTACGTCCAAAGTCGATGGTGGGCGAACCACGGTGACTCAACCTACTTGTCATTTAAAAAAATTTGGGCCTAAGGAACAAGATGGGATTATTGATGAAGTCACACTTACGCTGGTGGTTGGACCGTTATATTATTTTCGGGTGACTCGATGGCTGGTTGAGTCAAATGCCTTCTGGTTGACGGCAGGGCTTTGGCAATCGAAGGGTTGTAAATCTTGGGATCGCTAACCATACGTACGAAAAAGCTTCGTTTTTGAGCCAACGTTTCTTTTTTCTTTCTTTCGAGTAATTCGAAGACTTCGTCATGAAGTTCCTGCAAGAAAAAAAAACGTGATATTTACAATCTATACTCTATTCACTGGTTTATTTACTAATTTTTTTAAGGTACCCAAATATGAATTCCAAAGTCAGGTCATAATTGATTATAGATTTTCAAGTTGATATGTAGACTTTTGAAATGGATGGCATTCTCTTGTTGTAATAGGAAATACGTCAGAGAGATTTGTCGGAAATGCCTCTTCAAATATCCATTCTTTGTTTGCTTGCGTCATTATGTGTGCATTTTTGTTCCCAACTATTTTACGAAGAGATCAAAAGATGTTTTCAATATTTGTTTTTGCGAAATAATAAAACATTTCTTGGATTTAGTTAAGTATACAATGTGTCTTTTTTTCAACGGTAAGCATGTATGTTTAAATCTCCTGATAACAATTAGCGGCAAAAACAAGCGTACATACACCTGGATCAGTACATCATCTAAAAGCTATGGTTCAGATAACACTTCCGAAAAAAAAAAATCAAACAAATATAAGAATCAAATTTCATAGATAATATTTGCCAATAACAAATATTATTTTCTCAGTAAGAAAGCAATTCTAGAAAGAATAATATCCTAGTAAATTAAACATTTGCAAAGGCCAAGCCTAGATAATTGCCATCAACAACCAGCCAACGTAAAATTTGGACATAATTTCAATACACTCATATGCACAGCCTACACTTATCATGCAGAATCCTCGACCCAGAATTAAATCGGAGATATAAGCATTGTCGATTTGAATTATTGAATTTTACTTATGACGACAAACAATTCGTTATTAGGTGTAAATAAAGAAACCGGATTAACAACAGGTAGTATATCTTACAACATCGCGGCGTAATTGTATTCTGAAATTATCACCGCCCTAAATAAGGCAGGTATTTATCAATGGTTTATAAGAATTACTCACAAAAACCAGTCCGGTAAATGCAAAATTTAAACGTTCTTGCTAAGTAACATTCATAATAGTTCTCTTCAGTTAAATGTGTCTTGAGTTTTATCAAGGACAAGCAATTGGTATCTATCTTTTAGGCCCTTCGCACATCAGGCAACTAAAAAACTAACTAGAAACTTAATTCGTCAATAAGTTGCTTATAAGTTGCCGCTTGTGTATTTCAATGGGCATCCGGCATACATCGCAACATGCTGCAACCAGTGCAACCCGATATGCAGAGTCGCTTGGCGATTACTTTCTAGTTTGTCTTGTGAATGAGCACGCCAAATGGCGAAATCTGGAGAAGAGTCCTTCAATTTGACGCTGGTTCACACCCTATATGCATTTTATATATTTTTTCAATGTAGTGGTGAACCCAATATCTCATTTTCCTATGCCGATTTTTTTTTAAATACAATAATAAATGATAATATATTCAATCATAAATATGTTTTTCGCCAGGATATAATAACAATATCCTAATCATATAATAATAATAAAGTAAGAAGTCGTGACTTGATTTTTCAGTAGCGTCGCGTGCGATCCATAGTTGGTGATTCAGGTTGCCAAACCAAACTAATTGGCAATTAGTTTGGTTTCTTTTAAGTTGCTTAATGTGCGCCTTATTCGAGAGATAGTTGTAGTTTCCAGCTATATCTGACTTTTCCAAATATGGGGTGCCTACCTCAAAGTTAGCTGCACATAAAAAACTTAATTATTTGGCGTCACCGAGGATTAACCGAACTCGCCTAGCGTCAGAAATACCTATTTTTCATCAAGATTGATAAATAATAAAGTTTTTCACATGCAACCAACTTTTAAGTTTAGACACCCTGTATTTGGCAATGTTGAATATAGCTGAAAACTGCGACCAACAATTTTCTATAAATAAAACAGAAAAAATATTTTAAAATTGTTAATTCTATAAAATCGTTTTATAAGTATTCCGAAAATGATTGAGCCAAAAAAATTGAAATAAAAACGTGCGGTACACCCTGTATACAAAATATTTTGGTGAGCGCATAATTAGAATCGAATAATCCATTTTTTGAACACCCTGTATCCTGTTTCCAAAAACTTATCAGATGATTCATTTGTGCCCATGGAAACCTTTGATCAGGACTTCAAGAAAAACAATATACCAACATTTCATCAAATTTGACCGGATAACAAAATCTCATAAGATGTGTGCGGGATCCTTTACCCAATGTTGTCACATTGTTTACATTTTTCGAAATTTAACTTCTGCGATAACTACGAAAATACTAAGAATTGACCCATGGTCGATATAGTTTTATATAGTTTTAGCTTGAAATGGGCCATATTATCACATATTAAAATATTTGTACTCAAACCTGATACACCCTGATAGAGGCTGATTTCTAATTGAGGAGGCAACTTTGGGTCCATTTCAAAAAGAGAACTTTACATGAACGTATGTCCTAAACGTCTTAACTTTTGGGTAATAATTATTTCAAAAATAAATAATTTATTATCACCACTTCACATATTTCAATGAAATTTGGCATACATGTACTATGTATCAACAGGCATTCTTTTATGTGGTACATTTTCTTCAATTTCCACGCAGTGGCGTTCGTACGGAATTTGACCTGCCTTTGTACGTAGAAACCGAAATTCGTATACAGAGTGGTTTCAAAACCGTTCATGGAACGGTTTTTGGCTTGTTGGAACAGACCTCATAACAATATCGTTAACATGACTCAAGCAGCGAAATAGATCTGAAATGATTGAGGATTTCAAGAATTGTTTCTATTTTAAGAGAAATCAGTGGCGTACCAACAATGTCTGCCAAAATAGACAGATCAAATTGCGTACCAACGCCACTGGTGGAAATTTAAAAAAATGTGTTAGGTACATTAATAAATGCCTCTTGATACATAGTGCATGTATGTCAAATTTCATTAAAATATCCAAAGTATTAAAGTTAAAAATATGTATTAATAATAAATAAATAAATGATGTTAAAAATATGTATTAATAATAAATGAGACGTTTAAGACATATGTTCACATGAAGTTTTCTTCTCAAAATGGAACCAAAAACTTAAGTATTGACATTCAATTAGAAAACACCCTGTATACTTTTTTCAGATGTAATTTAGAAACTGCTTATAATGTAATGTAAAAAATGTAATTTGGTTCTTTTTATTATAGTCTCAAACTATACCTATTGTAATTTGAATTTTTACCTTTTCAACCGTTCCGTGCACACTTCAACCTTCTCGTGCATAAGCTGTTTTAGTATTTTTGGTATGTCCGAAAGGCTCATCACCAATTTAGAATTCAAAAACTCAAAAGTGACTTTTTAAAGTCTCATAAAACTATTCCTTATTCGAATTTTTAGTATTTTGAACTTTTTCGGCACCTTGAAAAGCCTAATTTGTGTCTAAACTGACGGTTCTTCTAGGATATACAATTTAGAATCAAAATGTTCAAAGTGTCTTGTAAAACTTTCAACTATTAAATAAATTAATGATAACTACCAGGAGAGGATTTATCAATTTTAATATGTCAAGGACGTATATAAGGGGGGTTTTGGGGGTTCAAATCCCCCCATTGAACTGAAAAAAATATTTTTTTTCACTGCTCTAAACCCCCCCCCCCCCCCCCCCCCCTATGTGAAAGCTATAGCTACGTCGTTGTAATATGTTTATATCGAGTGTCTGGGGGGCTGAAGAACCCAGGAGGGAAATTCATGTCCATCTTCTTTTGGACTTCGATTGTTAAAGAATTTGTTTATGGCAAACAAGTTGTGTTGCTCCAAATTCCAAATGTTTTTGTAGTAAATTCTCATCAACTTCCCAGGTTGACTATATATGATTGTAACGCATTTTTATTCGTCTTCGTACAGAACTCTTGTTATCTCAACTTCCTCATGTTTATGATCCGATATAAGATAGCTGAACAATTTTCAGTTTATCTATAAAGGTTCTCATTAGATAGGCTACTCTATCAGATATATCTACATATTCCTCAACATATCTAGCTATATTTTTTCCTAATATAAATCCGACGCCTTCTTGTCTTATTAGATTGTTAAAGTACAAAAGCGAATCTCGTGTACATAAAAATCCAGATGCTTTTTATGCAAAATATCATAACAAGTGTCGTACGCAGCGACTATTCAACATAAATAAAAAATTAATATAAACGATAAATGTGTGTGATCTTTTCTATCAAAATTTTCTCAGAATCGGCCTTATGTGATTGAGCTATAACAAAGAGCACCGAATTAAAATAAAATAAATACATTTTATGTTTATTATTCCTTGACTGCGTATTTGCATGAATATATCGAACGCAAGTTTGTTATTTAAAAAAATGATTGACATTAATCTTGGGCTTTTTGTTTCTGTGTCATGTTCATGGACAAATTTGTGTCCGTATTGCTAGGACGGATTACGTAGTGACTATATTAATAATTATTATGAAAATGGAATAGAAAAAGTATATTTTTCAACAATAAACAAATGAGAAATATAAATTGATAAAGGATTTTTCAATTACTCGTTTGTTTTTTTTTTGCACAGCACCGAAACACATAGATGGATTTCGTCTTCTTTCTTTTGTTAATAAATAATAATTTCAATCTTTTTGTTTTAACCTCTTTATTCTATCTTTTAGTCAAAAATCTAGAAATGTTGGCTGTTGATTCTGGTATACTTTATACAATTACGCCTGCATTTATTCAGCTATCTGGAAAAATTTCATCCAAATAAGTATCATCTAACTTCGATATCAAAATGGAGCTTCAACTTCCTGAAACCATATTCTTTGACCGGGTAATGCCTGAAGTACTTTCTTCATTTGGAAAAATAGATTCTAAATCTAATGCTAATCATAGCTGAGAAGTTGCAGGAAGCCGTCAAAAAAATATGGTCCATAATTTCTCGACACAGGTAATGTGTGAAATAAGAAAAGTTTGGTCTAATTTTTGTGAATGCAGCAGTCAGTCACAAAGTTGGTTCACCTACTTCTCGAGATCGAAAAGATATGCTCATCACTTCTCGGAATACACGACAACTTTTGTCCGGGCCTTCTTTGAATTACGAAGAACCGGAAATGTCGACACCTCACAGCCCAGATCTGAGCCCACTTGACTATTCCGTAGGCTGAATTTGAAAGGCAATAGTTCACACAGGAAAGGATACAGCTTTCTGTTTGTTGGAATACTATATATCTAGCTAAATTGCGGGTAAAATAAAATTTTTCTTTTTTAAGAAAGATATCCGGTCTACAAAATTCTAGGAAAGATACCTAACGTCCTGTTAGCATTCTAAAAATTATATATAATTAAATTTTCTAGTAATAAGATAACATAAAGAAGCTTCTCAACATTATGAAACCAAATCGTTGCGGTGAGATCAGTAACCTTTGATATAACAAAATTGCAAAGACGCCTATGCAAAACGGTTATTTTCTAAAAGTTGAATCATCATCATCGTGAATTTTTAAATACATTTTATAATGGGCAAAGAACCCAAAATCCAGTCTAAATTATCCCAAATTAATTTGTATAAAAAATCCTAATTTTCATTAAATTATTTACCGTTGTATCATTCGCACGTCAATCAGTCTATGTCAAATTTCCGCTAAACATCAAGTATATAAAAAATAAACATTCCAAGTTATTTTCACATAGCAAGTTTATAATCTCGAGAAGTCATTATGTCATGGCGCCACCCACCCACAAACATTTTATCATATAAATTTGGATTTTTAAAACCAAAATGACTAAATAAGCTCTTACCTGTTCTTTTTCGGAAGCCTGCGTGTCCAAAAGTTCTTCTGCAAACTCGCAAATGACCTCCCAAGCATGATCTGTTTGAAATAAAGTCAACAATAAAATAATGATTAATTACCAGTTCAAAAACAGTTTTTCATTATGTGGCTTTATCATACTAAGCTTACCAATGTCATTTTCAGTCGCTATATGCGATACCACACAAAATCTTATGACGTATTTGTCATTTACGCTAGACGGAACCATGTGTAGTTTCCCAGAAGCGTTGATGTTACTTAAAAGTTTCTCATTTACTTTATCGGGAGCTTTTAGACGAAAGCAAACCAAACCCAACTAAAAATAACCAGGCTTGAATTTCCAATGTTATAATTTGCAAAATTAACTTTATAAGAGGCTTAAAGAGTTGAAAGCGGACTCATCTACAAAAGTTTTGACATCGAGCTTTGATAAGAACAAAGTTTTCCTTTAGAGGATTTAAAAGACTTACCAACAAAGCAATGTTTTTTTTTTTTAACCCCAAGAGAGTTTCATTATTGGTACATAATTTTCAAATTAATTTCATTTGTTTGAAATAGCTCACCTTCACGTCGTTACAAATTTCAAATCTTCTATCGTTCAAAACATGCACCTCAAACCTTTTCGCCAATCTAATATGTAATCTAATGTATTTTTGTAGACCAGCTATGCCGTAACTCCTCAAAACAAACCACAACTTCAAAGATCTAAACCTTCTGCTCAATGGAACTCCCCAATGGCGATAATCTATTGTGGCATCTGAGTAGCCGTGTTGCAGATATAAAGGATCTACTACTAGAGCTGAAGTAAGTCTGAGTCTATCTCTAACCTAAAAAAAATATGTATTGTAAAATATTCATATTCAAGTAGGCTTTGTTACCCAATATGTAGAGCAATCAAAGTTTGTCAACAACCACTTGTTAGGATTGGTATTGAAAGAGTCAGCATATTCAATTCCATCTAAAAGATATTTTAATTCTGGACAAATAAAAGCGTTTCCGGCATAAGCTGCATCCACGTGTAGCCAAATGCAAGGGAATTTTTGGCAAACCTGGCCAATTTCTGGCAGGTTATCGAAAGAGCAACAGGATGTAGTGCCGAGGGTTGTCGACACGAAGAATGGTATTAGGCCCATGGTTTCATCTTCTTCCATAGCCTGGAAATGGAAAAAAATAACTTTCTATATTGTTCGATAGGAATTTCTGTAGAAAATTTCGCTCCTATGCGATTTTGGTATGGTATATTTTCATGTTATAAATGACATTTAAAATTATTAATTGATGAATATGTTGGTCACCATCATCATTAATTAGCCTGAGGTGACCACTACATAAACGACTCCTTCATTTGTAGCTATTCCCATCCTACATAGTGAGCGATTAGTTCTTGTATAAGCATCCGTTAGGAGCAAATCTGAAAGTGCCTGAATTTTAATCAAACGTTAAGCTTAAAGCTTACCAAAACTTTGACTCTATTTACAGAAAGAAGAACAAACAAAGAAACCTCTAGAGATCAGACAGGAAGAGGATGATGGCGATGTCATCATCATCATCTTCTATTCTATTCTTATTGTCATCAATTGTGCGTTTTCTGATTGCTATATAAACCAATTCTGGAACCGCACACTTCTCCACAGTTTTGGCATACCCAGCCTCTTCCTCTGTTCCCTCGCTCCTTCCTGCCTGCGGTCCCTCTTTTCGGTCTCGTATCTGCGTTGTTAGTCTTCAAAAGTTTGTGGTCCGTCGTGGACTACTCGATGCCATAAGGGCTCTCAGTTACTGGTATCGATGCGGCACTCTACTATATTCTCCCTTGGAACATTTTTGTAGCGTTTTCTTTCTTTCAGTTGACTGTAGAAAATCTGTCGTGGGAGACATGTTTCGGGCATGCGGACGAGGTGACCTGTCCAGCAAAGTTGGTCCCTAATGATAAGTGCTTCCATGCTAGTTGTTTTGGCCTCCTCTAACACACTAATGTTCGTTCGTCGATCTTGCCATTTAATCCATAGGATTGGTAGGATCCTTCTTAGGCATCGCTGGTGGTATGTTTCTAGGCTTTTTAGGTGTCTTATGTAGGAGGTCCATGTCTCGCATCCATAAAAGTTGGTATTACAACTGCGTTGTAGACGCGAAGTTTGGTCTCTTCACTGATGTCGTGATTGTTGAAGATTCTCTCTACAAGTCGCCTGAACGTCGCGCTAGCACATTTCAAGCGATGTTGGATGTTAGCGTTAGTAGTTGCATTTGCTGACTCCCAAGGTATGGGTAGTGTTCTACGTTCTGGAAAAAATGGTCATGTATAGTTATATTCGGAGCTTAGTGCCCTGTGCGGGCTGGTGCAGAATCTGCATCTCGTTAAAGTTGACCTCTAGGCCGATTCTCCTGAATGCCTGGTTGAATGCATTGATAACTGCCCGAAGATCTTCCTGCGTATTGGCCATCACGACGTTATCATCCGCATATTGGAGTTCAACATTATCGATGTCGTCGATACTCAATGGACAAGGTGAAGTATTGATCCTATAAATAGAGAGAATGTAGTAGGTGCAACACAGCCCTGTTTAACGCCTTTAGTTATTTCAAAAGACTCTCCTTGTCCATAGTTGCTCAGAACGGATGCATTCCTATTATCATGCAGCAGGCAGAGTATCTATATGTTATTTTGCAGACACCCAACCTTTGCCAATATCTTTTAAAGAGCTTCTCTGTTGACCGAATCAAATACTTGCACTTAATCTATGATGGCCATGTATATGCACATATAGTGGGCGATTTTGTTCTCTGGATTTCTCTTGCACTGAAAATCATGTCAGCTGCATCTCGGTTGTGTCAAACGTCACACTGTGTCTCTGGGAGGTTCTCTTCCACCAGTTGGGATTAGTCGATTTGATAATATCCTGGCAAGTACCTAGGTATCTTTCCCGCAACAGAAATTGAAGACATTCCTCTGTAGGTTTCCACATTGGGCCTTGACTACCTTTCTGAAAATGGCAGCTATGGCATCTCTAAGTTCGGCAGGTATGGTATCAGTAATCCATATTTTACTAATAAGGATGTAGGCTTGGCAGTTAGTGTGAGACCTCCTTGTTCTGCCGACTTATTGTTCTTCAGTTGTCTGATTGCCTTTTCAGGTTCCTTTAATCTGGGAACCTCGCTCGGTTCTTGTTGTATGGTCGGTTTCTGTGGAATTTTGTTGAAAATGTCATTATTAATTCGTGATTCTCTGTTGAGTATAGTTCCTGAAAGTGTTCGTTTCAATGAGAATTAATGGAATAACTGTCTTATGCCATCTTTGGATCGGAAGGGATTGAGCCTGATGGCGAAGCAACTGAACATCGACGTTTAAACCAAGGGAATAAGAAGATGATAGACATGATTCTGGACATGGTGAGCCGAATCTCGCAGCTCAAACAAAGTAAGCCGATCATCGGCACATGAGGAGTTTGACGAAGAAGAAACAGATCTTGATGCTCTGGAAGCAGAAATCCACGTTGAAGCAGAAGATGAAGCACCATCAGCCCCAAGGCATCATATGCCTTAGCCGTGAGGGTGTCAGGTGTCATCAGCAGTCACCGCCGACAAGACCACATTGTGAAGAGGTTTAAAGAAAAATTCAGAAACCAAAATTGAAGACACGTATAAGTCACTCAATTCACTGACAAAGGATGGAATGAGCTGATGCCGTCCTTTTTTGTCAAGATCGATGACGTGAAGATACGAATAATCAAGAGATTCTAGACGATTGATGTCCGAATGGAAAGGAAAGCAGATTGGCTACATACAAGCCAGATGATCGTTTTCTGAGATCCATTTCCTGCACACTCAACAAGTGATCATGCGGCCTTTTGCTGATAATTGAAATGATCGTCGACAAAAGAATCCGGTAGACAATTTTTTTTTCCAATTTCAAAGATCATCTTGAGATACCTTGAAGCTCCAAGATACAGGAACATCTTAAAGATTTTTTACACATTTAAAATTTAAATTTAGTACAACATAGACGGGCAATTCGTAAGTGTACTGCAGTTCCTCCAAAAAAAAATTAATATCTCTAATGGTCACTTTTGTGTCTCCCAACAATGCCAATCCAGCAGATATTCGGGCATTTTCTAAAAAAAAAAAAGTAATGAACAGGCAAAAAGCATATCTTTTTAAAAAGATTTTCTCATCCTAAGCGCAAACCGATTAATCAAAACTTCCTAGTAAGACAACTGGCGGGCGTTTAAAAAAATATTTGTCGCAAATTTAAAATTTATTATGATATTCTCGACGAAATGTTACATTTATTAATTGCGATCTAGAAATTTTGTAATATTGAATTGATTAAATGATTTCCGAGAAAATTATTTAAATTTAGATGCATAATAAATTATACGACCACCATTCGTATATGATTCACGAGGCGGGCAGGATCATTGATTCTATTTATTCGTATTTATTGTGACAGATTTCGGAAACGATATCGTAAATAAATTTTCCAGTTTCAGTTTTCTTACCATCATCAAAGTCTTCCCTCTCAGAGACGACTTTTCATCGGGCTCCAATATTCTCAGCTTGACAAAACAAATCATTGCTGCTTTTTCCACACACGAATGAGCCTCTTTTGAACAATAAGCCATGAGCTTGGACAAAAGAACTCCTTCTTCTACGAATGGATGTTGCTGTTTGAGCCTTTTCAGCGCTTGGGCTCTTGCTGCTAGCATCGATACCAAAACACATTCACTGGCCGATGTCTAGAGAAGAAACAGTGTCCTAATTATTACTTTTATACCCAACATATATTATAATATATATATTTAATCACATGAGAGAGTTAATAAAATGAAGCGTTATAAAAAGACATATTTTGACAGTCTTGGGTATGCTTCTGGACTCACCTGTATAACGCCACCCCCTCTGCTTCCTTCTTTGAAGGCCAGAAATTCGTCAGGCAAGCCAATAGCTTTTCCTTAATAAATAGAAAAAAAATTCTCAATGTCTTTCCATAAATTAAACTAAAGCTATTGCTACAACGCCCTAATCTTCTTACCAAGCCAATCCAACACTATAGTTTCCAATTCCGTACAAGCTGGACTAGCAGCCCAAGAAAACCCTATACAACCAATGGCATCCGATAACATGTCACCTAGAATAGAGGGAAAAGAATTGCCGCTTGGAAAATAGGCATGGAACCTGCAACAAAAAAAAAATCAAAAGTGAAACCCACAAAAAAAATAATTCTTACCTAGGATGTTGCCAGTGAGTCACGCCGGGCATTATTTTAGATTCCACGTCCGCCATGATGCTGTCCCAATCTTCGGGTTCTACGGGAGCATCCTCTGGGATAAGTTTGCGCAGATATCCGGGTTCTATACTAGGGGTCACTCTTCTGGTGTCTATGTTGTGTAGGTAGCTGCAGATGTACTCTATCATTTCTTTTCCACGACTTCGGAATTCATCGCAATCCATTCTGTTGAATAATTCGATTTGTGAAACTCCGAACAGATTCATACACAATCTGAATTGTGAAAAATATCACTGTTTAAGTCAGTTAAAAAAAAAAAAAATTGCTGCTCCTATTGGTCAAGAAGTAGTTTCTGTAATTTGGCTCTCGTAATTTGTATCCATATGAAGTGAGTCTTAGATAAAATACATTTTCTCTTTGATAGTTTGCAATTGGTTTTAAAAACCTTTCTGATCATTGATTTTTCGAAAAATATTATTATCCTTTTTCCAACAAAACTGAACAGTAGAATCCTTATTTCCAAAGAAGTAAAATACATTCGCACTATCAAATTATACCATAAACAAAAATCTGAGATTCATTCGTAAAATAAGATTTCATTTATAAAGTCAAGTCACGTCAATACAAAATCTTCCGTGAGGAATTAAATTAGGGAAAGCTATCTCCAAGATTAGAATTTAATATCGCACCCTTTCATTGAGTCTAGTGGTATGTCAATTATTGAAATAGAATTTATTTGAAGCGTTTTGTCGATTATTTTTCCATTCATCGTATTCACTGCGGTTCGGTAAAAATTTAATTAAAAAACTTTGCCTCCGAATGGTTTGGAATTGTTTATGTGGAAAATCTCATGGAAAATAATAATAGCTTGTGGGTGTTGATTACTAGTCAAAAATTAAATTGTGAAATTTAAAACCAGTTTGCAATTTTAATTAACGGACAATCATCAGAATCTTCACGCTTCAAAATTGAAAATCAACCAGGAAAAATCGTAGATTAAAAAACTAATAGTCATTAAAATTGAAAAATTCTATACATTTAATTAACGGACAATCATCAGGATCTTCACGCTTCAAAATTGAAAATAAACCAGGAAAAATCGTAGATTAAAGAACTAATAAGGTCTATGTTAATAGTCATTTAAATTGAAAAATTCTATACATGAACCTAAGTAAAATAAAATCATTAGGTTGGAGCAATTTGACCTATTTGGTGGATATGTGCTGATTGGTTAGAAGTTCTTGAGAATCAGAATTGAAGATAAAAATTGGTAAAAGCCCATGACTTCTCTCGGCAAATCATCCCACCACTTTTTTCGATAAATATCAATATTTCAGGTCCCAATTCTGTAGAGCAGATGAATCTAAAGAACTTTCAGATTTAAACTATTCTTCTGAAATAAGTAGTTTTGAAAATATACGACAAAATCGTATCTTTAGTAATCTCCAAGAATGGTAACTTTTTGCTAATATAACCAAACTTCGTATCATTTACCGGTCTGTGACGCATAGTTTTTGGGACACCCTGTCTGTCATTCGCAGATAAATGACAGACACACATGGTTTCCGGAGTGGTGGCTCTACCCTTTTTGACCCCATCGGTATTTCCCCCTGGGTGGGGTGACTTTCACCCCCTTTTTTATATCAGGAAGATGGGTCGAGTGGTACCTTGTTTTGAAGGTATTTTGATTTTCGTCACAACTGCGTTTTTTTTTTAAATCGGATAATTAGTTCTCAAGATATTCACTGTCAAAGTTGCCATGGGCTGAATGAGGAACAATTTTCTGGCCCCTTTATTCTCAACTTAACACTTTCCTGACTTTCCTCTCGGTCACGTCAATTTTTATTTCTTCAGAAGCACATAAAAAATGAAAATTGACGTGACCGAGAGGAAAGTCCGGAAAGTGTTAATTTGAGAATAACAGGGCCAGAAAACTCTCCCTCATTTAGCCTATGGCAACTTTGACAGTGAATATCTTGAGAACTAATTATCCAATTTTCAAAAAAAATACGCAGTTGTGACGAGAATGAAAATACCTTTAAAACAAGGTGCCGCTCGATCCATCTTCCCTATCTCCATCAATTTTCGCTAAGGTGCACCCAGGGGGTGCACCTTAGCGAAATACCGATGGGGTCAAAAAGTTTCCCCCTTGAATACAAAAATGACGTGTCCGAACGTTTTTTTTAAATCGACCTCAAAATACCCCAAAATGCTTCTGTTTCGATGTTCGTGAAACACCCTGTATATTCTTATTAGAATTATTTTGTATGTTGAAAAACCACCTGTATAGGCAAATAAATACAATTTGGATTTGCTGAGCAGCTCACTTCATGTAATGCTGAATAATATTTGTTAGTTGTTAGATAAAATCTGACTTTTCTGAGCTTCTAAGACAATTGAGTCAAAAGCTGATGTGTTTTTTTGTCTCACGAAGTTTGTTTTAGCCAAAAATATGTTTACTTACTACCCAAGGTCGCGTCAAATAAGTTGTAATAAACACTGGCACTAAACCCGACGACAATGCAGAGTGCAGAGAAAACAATGCAAAATAACCCGAACATTTTCGATTTTTCTTGGATTCCCAGGTATACGTTTTGCTCTATATTTGGTATAAGATTAGTTCGGAAATAACACGTAATTAGACTTTAGCACAATTTGATTAGCTGATAGAGAGAGCTCGTAGGCTGGACAAAACTTTACGTTATAGTTTGTTGGACGCTTCAGGAAAATATGCTTAAAGCTTAAAGATTTACATCTTCCTTGTCCAAATCCAGAAATTGTCATATGAAATTAAACGAGCCAGTAGTTTGACAAAATGATGACAGGAAACACTTAAAAGTATTAAATTTTTTTCAAAATAAATTAAATTATTTATTGGTCACGATAAGCTTTTGCTAAAACTCATCACCTTTATATACGATTTTAGAATTATTCTACCTGTTGATACGTTTTCCTAAGGCTTCTACCTTGGCATAAAAATAAAATACTAAGTTGAAACATAATACCATACGTAGCAGAAAAATCCAGCTTTATTTGCTCCAAATTAATTTAATTTCACTCACCTGCTAAACGTAAGCTGATCAAATTTCACTTATAAAATTACCGGAAATAACCCTTTCGTCGAAAGGTAAACGTACGAACTCGATGCTTATACCCGGAAGAGTTCCGGCACACTAGTAGATTCCAAGCTTCCACTTCTTTGCGTTCTTTGGCGCATTCCTCCTTGGATTCTTTCCATTTGAGTCTTTAGGGTTGGAGAATTGCCTGATGATATTAAATATAGACGCGTTTATTATTGCGTACAGGGTGCGTCAACTCAATAACTAGATGGACACAATTATCAAGTTCTACCTTTTTTATTAACTTACCATTAATTTCATTTAAGTACCTAACTATGCATTTTTAGTCAAAAAGAAAACTTAATTGAAAATTAAAAAAAAAAAAAACATGACAATGTTACTCGTAATTCGGTTTCTAAGAATCTGGCACAAAAAAGAATATGTGGTTGAACCGATAATAATTGATTCTTGATGATTGGTCAGTTACTTGGAGTATTGAAAACGCGCGTAATTCATTATTTTTTGAAAATAAAATGTTTACAAATGTCGAATGTGTAGATATGTTACTTGTTTACGGAGAATCGTTACAAAATGGTCCCCAGAGTTTACAGAGAAAGATTTCCTAATAGGACGGCACCTAATGGAAGAGCATTGTGCTCCTTTTGCAAAGATTAATTTCGTGATACGGGAAGTGTAAGTGTGCAAAATGTTAATCGGGGACTTGCAAGCCAAGTGGCAGCTGCTGATGAAGAACAAACTTTAGCGATGATAGTGGAAGATAGCCTTGGAATAAGCACTCGATACATTGCCTGACAAGTTAGGTATTCCTACTGAACAGTTAATTGGACCGTCCGTATCATGTACAGCGTGTACAGGCAGTGCCTCCTGGATATTTTCCAACATTCACACCTGGGCACAAGAAAATCCACATAGAATTCAACAAAGATTTTCGATAAATATTTGGGCAGGAATTCTTGGAAACAGTTTGGTTGGACCTTTTTATTTTCGACCACGATTAAATGGCGTGGTATATCGAGATTTTCTACGTGATAATTTGCCCCCATTATTGGAAACTATCCCCTTAGAACATCGGGCTATTATGTGGTATTTCCCTGCTCACCTTGCAGGTACTGTTGTCCAACATTTATAAGAGATGCATTTGGCGATCGTTGGATAGGGCGTAATGCGCCAGAGCCTTGAAAATGGCCTGCTAGATGCCCTTGATTTCCATTTTTGAGGTCATATGAAATCTCTAGTTTAAATGGATGTGAAGTTCAAGTCGAAAATAACTTCTGAAATCGTATTTTCGCCGCAGCAGACCAAATTCGGCAACAACCAAATGTTTTTCAGTCAGTTTGTGACAACTGGATTCGTCGTTGTCGAGGATGTTTGAGCTAGTTTTTCATTGGGAACTTTCTGGGCAGTGTATTCTGTCTTCAATTATGGTGACCTTAGTTTTTTGAAAACCTTGTATCAAAATAAGTATTTTCATAATCAGGATTTGGCAAGTACGTAAGTAAGTTTCAAAACTTAATAAAATCGGCAAAAAAAATCTTTATTTACAAATTTACCTATACTTTGTATAGGTAGGTACATTTTATCTCAAGCGCCCCGGTCCGGAGAATAACTAAGTATCTGTACATTGTTAACATTTCTTTAAATTTAAATTCTACGATAATTCCAAAAGTACTGAGAATTGACCAGTGGTTAATGGAATAGTTTTAACTTGGAATGGGCCATATTATCACATGTTGAAATATTTGTACTCAAACCTGATACACTCCACAACAATTATCACATCAGTGTCATTTTCCTATAGTTTGACTGTTTAAATTTTTTGCGATAGCATTTTGTTAATATTTTCAATAAATGATCTAGCACACAGGTATCTAAACACATTTAGGAATTTGTTTATTATTGTTCAATATCTATGATAAACTGTACCCCTATTTTGTGAAATAAATATAAGTGATGCGATAATTATTTTGGAGTGTATTTCCAATTTTTAGCATCCTTTTTCAAACGGACCCCACTTCAATTAATTTTTTTTCCATTTAGAACGAATCCCTTTAATATTTCAGATGCTAAGGGGTGGAAAATAATTTAGTCAAAATGATGTAATCTTGTTACACAATAAAAACTTTTACCGTGCTTTCTTCTATTCTTCTTCAACATTTTTGATGGAGAAGTCTGTTATCATAAATCAGTATTCGATGTCTTTGCCAATATAGGCCTGTACCTACTCTATTTTTTAATCTTAGGGTAGCTACTCATAAATGTGCCATAATGTATTGATTATACAGTGTGTTTCAAAAGTCTGGGAACGGTCAAATACTTCCATAGCGGCTTGGAATAGAATTACGAAATTTTCTGCATATAGGTAATTAATGATGCCCGATTCAATGATCATATCGACAATGTTGCCAGACTTACCGATTTTTAGATAATGTGGGTAACTTCGTTTTTTTTTTAAATAGGAATACCACTTTATTTTCATTGCAATAAGTTCGGCGCTCTATTGTTATTGAAACCTCTTCATATCATGTCCCTATCTTACACGGTTGCTGAAATATGGCAACACAGACTTTTTATACAAAAGTCTGGGAACGGTCAAATATTTCCAGAGCGGCTTGGAATGGAATTACGAAATTTTCTGCATATGGGTAATTAATGATGCCCGATTCAATGAATACATCGACAATGTTGCCAAGTTTACCGGTTTTCAGATAATGTAGGTAACTTCGGTTTTCTAAATAGGAATACCACTTTATTTCCATTGCAATAAATTCGGCACTCTATTGTTATTAAAACCTCTGTCTATTTTACACGGTTTCTGAAATATTGCAACACAGCGTTTTTGTTCAAAAGTCTGGGAACGGTCAAAAAATATTTCCAGAGCGGCTTGAAATAGAATTACGAAATTTTCTGAATATGGGGAATTAATAATGCCCGATTCAATGATGACATCGAGGATATTGCCAAGTTTAAAGGTTTTCAGATAGTGTAGGTAACTTCGTTTTTTTTTTTATAGAAATAGCACCTTTTTTTCTAATGCAATTTTGGTACTCTATTGTAAGTGAAACCTCCTGATATCAAATCCCCATTTTAAGTAGTTTTTGAAATGTGGCAACACAGGCGTTTTGTTCAAAAGTTAGAGAACGGTGGAGTATTTTGACAAAGGCTTAAAATAAGATATTCAAAATTTAATGAAGAGACGTTATTGTGATGCTCAATTGAATGATGGCATCAACAAATATCAAAATATCGATACGCTGGGATTCACTCAGTTCGAAATTCATTTTGACAAAACTTTGAAGGAACTTGACACATCTGATAATTACCTCTACCACTGGATAATAAGCAAATGAATATCTAAATTTTCAGTTATTTAGCGTAGGTGTATTCTTTCATGTTATTGTTTCGACAAATTGTCAAACAATATACAGGGAGTATAAGGTAGATCAGGTATGAGTACAAAAATTTCAACATGAGATAATATGACCTATTTTAAGCTAAGACTGTCCTATTAGGGCTACTAATCATGAGTCAATTGTTAGTATTTTCGGGATTATCGCAAAATTTAAATTTAAAAAAAATGTTAACAACGTGACAACATTGTAGAGATCATCTCTACCAGGATATTAGGTAAATAAAACTGGTAAATTCTATTTTTTTGCTAGCATTTCATTTATTTCCACCTGTTTACGTTTTGGTTTGTTATTCGCTTTCAAATAATGTAAATAATAATTTGCATTTTTATCATTTTTCTAGTAAAAATAAAAAATGTGTCGTTTTATTAAGTTGTGAATTGCACTCAAGGACATTTTTACACTGAACATTCAGGAGAAAAAAAATTACACATTTACACTCCCCATATCACGCAATCTTTGTAAAACGGGCCCAATATTATTTCATCAGGTAGGTGCCCTTCTATTGGGAAGTCTTTCCCTGTAAATTCTGGTGGCTAAATGAGCATTTTGCAACGATTCTGCCTTAACAAGTATCTGCATATTCGACGTTTGTGAAGTGAACATTTTATTTTCAACTACCTATTCTTTTTTGTGCTATGTTGCCAAATGTTTAGATACCGAATCACGAGTGAAGTCATGTTTTTTCAATTTTTTATTATTGTTGTTGACTAAAAATGCATTATTACTTAACTTACTTAATAATTGAATGAGTTAATTTTTTTTTGTGATCTCAAAATGATTAAAATTTTCTTTATCTTTCAAATATTTGTCAATAATTGTCATAACTTCAAAGATCTTTTTCTTGAAAATGATTTTGTTGTGGGCCATATTTTCAAGTGTTAAAACTTTTGTAGTCAAACCTGATACACCCTGTATAAAATATAAATTTATACTTGACAACCAGTTTTTTTAGTGATATTTTTGCCGGTATTATTGAAATAGACAGAAGAAATATTTTCCTGGAGAGATATTTTCTCAAATCTCGAATTGACCCCTAGAAAATGTAATCCTACTTTTAGTCGTTTTGAAAATTTGACCGTTCCTAGACTTTTGAACAAAAAGGCTGTGTTGC